GCAAAAGTCTATCAATACTTTCACAGTTCTGACATAACACTTTATAGCTATTAGACTAAAGCAGCTGTAATGTGTTTCTGCTTTTTATGATGTGTAAATCGCACTTTTTATTTCCAGTAAAGTATGCTTTTTGAATATTTCACAATAAAGTTTTCATGCAGCAGAATAAGTGAGGAAACGTGCATCTTTTAATCCTTAGTTTTTGTAGTTAAGACTGCTTGTGAAATTTTTTTAAATGAATAATCCGTGCAATTTTATAAGACAATGTGACATGCTTCCTCTATTCTTTCTGGCTTTCATTTTACTTGTTAAAAAATAAATCCTATTAAAAACCCTATATCAAATTCTAGAATAACATTTTCTGCTACGTAGTATATTCTTTTTGTCATTATTTAATAGTTTACCCCGAGATTTGCCATCAGACCTTTGCATAGCTATATAATAGTGAACAGCAAGTGAAATCGATTAGTTTTTGGCCAGCTGTAAATGTGGATATGATATGATAATGTGGTACTATTTATACCGGAAATAAAGAATTTTGGGTATGTTCAGTGTTGTTTTTAGGGGCTACCGAAAGTCAAGGTAAGGCTTCTTGTCAAAAGCAAAAATTAATTCAGAAATAGCTGTATTTTGCAGGAATGATGCAGATGACGTAGAAACGGCGCAGTCGTCGCATCAGTTAACAGAGGACAAAAAAGATGTGGCCCTGGAGACAGAACTAGAAACAAGGACGCCATCCTCCTCCATTATCGGTTTGACTTTTGTTAAAGTAGCAATTATTCATTTTACCACCAGCAAGCAACCAACGTCATTAATCACGGAATATCTAGAAACTTCATCTCGTTTACGAGTAATCAAACTGCTTCTTAGAGCGCTTACATTGTCGTAGAACTTTCTAAACACAATTAAAGCCTATAAAATTGGTTCAGGCCTGAATATGAAACGTCTTAAACGCCTTTTCGACACTATAGCTGAAAATTAATGTACATTATTGCTGAGTGTACATATAATTTAAAATCGATCTAGCTTTTTGTTCTCTATTTAGTTAGAAATAGATATCGGTTCATTGTTAGCCAAACACGCTACAGACTCTAACTTTCCTTGCATATTTCATTTTTCCTTCTATTGTTTATAATTTGATTAATTTATTACGTTACTTTTTTGGATGGCTTCTGATTGTTGTTTATTTAAATCAGGGACTTTTTCTAACCAGTGATATAGCTTGAAATTAAAGGAGTTAAATGAAAATAAGAATAACGAAGGTTGTTTAATGAGTTATCTCTAGAATATGTTCTGTCCACTTTTGCCTGTTTCATTGAACCCTCTATTCACTACTTTGTTTATCCATGCTTTTTTTTTCTCATTGTAATGTCACTTATTGTTCTCTTACGATTGTTTTTCGACTGTTTTTGCTCCTACGTGATGTCACATGATCTATCCCTATTATAATTGCGTTCATAGTTACTATCCCAAACTATGGAACATTGTATTCATCACAGGAACAAAATGAAGTTGTTCCATAGTTTAAAGAAGAGGCGGTTTCTGTAATAACTCTGTGTAATGTTTGCACCATAGCTCCTCTTTCTTTTCGTGTCCATACCCATTTGGTTCTTATATGTTCAGGAGTTGTAAGCATCGCAGCTGCTAATCTTTTCCATTCTATTTTATCTGTCATTTCTCTTTCGTGCATATATTAACAACGGTACGTTTTGAGCTGTATTGTGTAAGCAGTTTGCTGCTTCCTCTTTAAGTAAAAATATAGACATCATATGGAGGTATTTGTGGGATAGTGGTAATATAACAGTGGGAAGAGAAGAGTGATAACGAGTAACAGTAATAATATCACGAAAGAACATAATATTAGAAGATGGAGAGGCAAAAAAAATTGCCTAAAACAGTAACAAATGCAGAATAAGATATAGAAGTTGACATGAAGTTTGAAACAAAATTTTTTTGAAAACGAGAAATTAGAATTCATAGGTACAATGAAAGATATTGTAATGAACTAGGCAGGAAATTCTTATATCCTGCTTAGTAGACTGTAGTTTATCTCCATGAAAAACCAATAACTTTTTTGAACAGGTAGATTCTGTTTTGTACAATCTTTTGTTCACCCAACTCCTTATAGTAATATTATAAAAAAGAGTAGTGGATCAGAGAAGGGGCCAGGGAAGGAAATGAGATCGACGGGAGTTGGGAAAATTATAAAATGAAGATAGCGCTTATAATCTGTAGTCTTAATTTATTGACAGAAGATTTTTCATTTCTCATTTTTTTAAGGAACGGGATGTTGATGTTCCCTTTTACTTTTATACCTTCCACATCTGGCTTTTTCACATTGAAAAGCCTCATCTTGTTGTGGTAATTTATCTCGTAGTATGTGTGAGCCGTGAAATATGGAATAAGGCATAATATATAGAAAATTATTATCAATTTTACTTGTAATGTTAAGGATTTGCATGACAACATTATTTCCTTACCTAGCGATATTATTATCAACCATTTCTTTATCTTTCGTGTCTCTCATCGCTTAGTTTTAAATAAAAACGGATTATGAGAAGAAGGTTTTTCGGCTTGTCATTTAACTTCTCTGTGATGGCCGCATTTCATCATTCACGCAATCTCTTGCTTGTCCTTCCTCAACAATTTCTATTAACTCATTTGTTTTGTTTGATGGCAATACCTTTGGTGATGCATGAACTATGTATTTTGAACTCCATATTAATTTTAAGTCTTACACGTTCTTGCAATCTGGATCGTTGCTAAATTGAGTAACAAATGAATTAAAGAATAGTCTATTGGTTGGCATCATGTGTTTGTTTTACAAGATTACATATGGTCGTATTAAATGTAAATTGGTTCGTTCATAAGTTTACGTAGTGTATCAGTTTCATAGAATCTTAAAATGTTCAGCGTATTCTAACTGGGATTTTATGCACACATCCCGCTCGTGTGTTTAATTACGAAGCATGTGCTCCTTTTCAGGTTCAAAGCCTGGTGCTTTTGTGAAACCATCGCCGACTTTTCCAACTTTTTCAGCTGCTACTCTATCTCCAACTTATGGACCACTGCCACTGTTTTATCCGTTCTTCTTACCGGTGAGGTCTTTTACTTTGTCAATCTGCTTTAATATTTTTATTAAAAGAATTTGATTTTCACCTCATGAAAGTGGAATGTTTCTAAAGAATAAAGCGATGTACTGAGATTACTTTTATAGAAATCTGAATTAATATTCTATTAAGGCTTAAAAAAGGGAAAGAATTGAAGACAAACTCGAGTAAGTATCTTTGGTCTAGAGAGTACATTGTTTCTCAAAAAGAGCAACTGAAAGCTGAAAGAGCGATATTGGTACCATATTGCCCTTAGACTGGACCAAGTCGGCTTCATATTTATCTAGATAAGAAGGCCTGAGATGAAGAGTTGAGGGATATTTTGTGTGTTTAAAGAAAGTACAAATCATTTCACAGCATATTTTCATGGCTAACTTTGTCTCAATGAATTAGAAGTAAGCCGAAGGAAGAGAATAAGTTAAAAGTTTGAAGAATTGGCAATTAATAATTTGAATGCTGCTCAGATGAGCACTAGAAATGCTTTCCAAAAAATGTGTGAAAAGAATAAAATGTGGGGTGTAGTCCTCGTTTTGGAATGAGTTAAAAAGGGCTCTTTGGATGATTGATGCATGTCGATTATATAGTCTTGGGCTACTGGAAGGCTGAGTTATGAGTTAAGATTTGCTCAGAAACAGCAAAACGATTGATTCTACCGCAGTAAGAATTGAAAGTATATGAGATGGAAACTAAAAACGGGGAATGTTTGGAGGCTGGCTTTGCCCTACTCTATTTCTCTTGATTGAATACATCAATTTTCGAAATTAACTACTGCTCTGCCCAACTTTTGTTGGACTTATATCATGCTTGATTGATGCATTGAAATACAAGCTTTATTATGTCAGATTATCGGAACGGGTCAAAGTTTCTGCCCTTTTCCTCTGCTTCCCTGTATGTTATGAGCTTCGACCTTACATGCTTACATATCAGAAAATCTAGGTATCTCCAAATAATTTCAAATAATGGAGTGAGAGATTGACTCAGTTGGTGACTATCTTAAATGATTTGCAAATAAACTTTCAAAAGATTTTCCGAAAGTATGCAATAGAGAAGCAAGAAGCTTTCACGATGTCGATAGCCGAAGTTCTCTTTCATCAGCAATGGGCAACTATGAGTACTGATGTAATGTTATAAAACGTTTCGCCAACGGCTCTTTGAATTGAGCAAAACAGACTTTACAAATTGAAAAAGGTGGTCTTTGTCTCTTGAAGGCGAATAGAATATTGCTTTCGGAACAAGCGTCATTCCTGGACAGGAGGGAGAAAGAGTACGGAAAAAAAATCAGGTTCTTTAATTAAAAGAGGAAATTTTCCAAATGAGGAAAGAGAAATTACAAAGCAAGTGGAATGAAGATTTTTTTTTTCTCTCACCTTTCATTTTGAAATACCATATGTTGGACAGAAAACAGAAAGACACATGAGAGAACAAGTGAGAAAAATTGAAAACAAAATATGGATGAAAGAGCAGTGTCGAAGGGCTAAATCTGTCAAGTGAATACTTTTCGAAGAATCGGAGTGGAATAGAGTGACGTGAAAAAGGAAGGAGAAGCGCTGAGAGAAAACAAATAAATAGTAAGAATATCAAGTTAGGACACTTCATGCGTAAATGAACAGTAATGTTATTTAACTCAAGCTGCTTGAAAAATAAATTCAGTAGCTTTGGTGTCTGATTCTCAAACGCTAGATCTTGCATTTCCATAAAAAATGTGTATATCTTAGCTATACAGTAAATGAGTAATTTCTTGTTTACATAGTCGAATTGTTTATGTGCTTTAAAAAATAAATTGTATGTTTTTCAGTATCTTTTATTTCTGTCCAAAATTCTTTAGTTTTAGTTTCAGTATGTTTGGAAATTTATTATTAGTACTCTTTGAAATTATTGAAGAGATAAGTTGCTAAATAAAATCTGATTTAAGAAGACGAGCAAATGTAAATGAATGCTTGCATTTAAGTTTGAATTCGTAAAAAAGAACTTCCGCAGTGCAAAGAATTCGGATTGCAAAAAGCTAAACTACGTTAAATTATACAATTAGCTGTAGTTGAATAATGTGTGATAGCTGTATTGGCACCTTGTGTCGATGATTGCTCAAGGATATTCATTAGAATCTTCGCTTGTTTGGATACATTTTTCGAGAATTATAAAACGAAATTGATGTATTTATCTTAGAACCAGTTGGCAGCTAACTAGCTATGAGAAGACTATATTGACTACATCGCAAGTGATTCCTGTAGTAATAAGTATCCTCAAGGCTTTGATATTGAAAGAATAAGAATACGAAAATTCAGTAGTTTTTTCATCTTGATGTGAAAGGAGGTCGAGAATTACGAGCTAATGATCTCTTAGACTTGGATCATTTTAATCTTTCTCGAGTCTTCCAATTGCAAAAGATAAGTTTATGGGAAGGGTTAAATTCCAGAGCAAAAAAGTAATCGATTGTAATAATGACAGCATCAAGTTGTATGTCTCTTCTCTTCGCATATTGGAAAAAAATATCTGGAACCTTTCTTGTTTAAGTATCATTGTCTTGATATTAAGAATCAGTAGTGAGGGGAGAGGGGCGTTATTGAAAATGGCGTAGATTTTCATTTAGTAACAGTTTGATTTGTGGTATGCAGATATCATATAATTTTAGGGGATTGTAGGAAATGAACTACATGTTGCATCTCCGAACTACTTCTAATTTAATCAGCGTAAAAATAATCACGTTTGTTATGAGAAAGATTACTGAACTTCAGAATCAGACTCCGTATGGTTTGCCATTCGGAAGGATGCCAAGCGGACCGATGGATGCTCGTTCAATGTCACCGACCTACGCAGCATTCGTTATGCAGCAAGCGGCTCAAACTATGTCACCAACCTTCGAAATGTATAGGAATTTCCCTTTTGGTCCTGCTTCTCCAAGTTCCTTGTTCCAGGTTTGTGTATTTTTCTCTTGATAGTTAGCATTTTTTAATGCTTTACAATTCTTCCGCCATTAATGAACTGGAGACATTAAGTAGTTGAGCACATTTATTGCTGAGGTCTCAATAATAGGCCAAAGGTGTTCTGAAGAGGTGCTAGGTGCAGAACATACTGCCATATTGGCATGCGTCTATTGAAGGGTAGTGGAGTGGGTGCGGCTACCCCCAAGGGTAACCCGTTTGCGGCAGCTACAATGATGCGCAATATGCAGAATGCGGCTGCAGCGGCCGCAACATCTCCACATCCACTCAATTCAATAAACCAAATGCGATTACCTCAGATGGGTTCACCGATCACCTCCATGGCCAGTAACTTAGCGCAGCAACCGAGCAGTAACTCACGTGGCACTAACAACAGCACCAAGACTGCGAAGAACGAAAGCAAACCCCCCAAAGTTAAAGTAAGTGTTATTTCAACTTACCTTTTCCAGTTTATAATTATTTCCTTTATTTACTGTTGCGATAAAATTGGCTTTGCATTGATTTAAAGTTCATCATTCGCTAGACATCGAACAAGCCATTTAACGCATATTTAGTTTGTCTTTCTATCAACGAGGTTTGGTTGGGTTTTCTTGTGGCACTTACAAAGATTCACATACAAGAATTTTAATTTATGTATTTAACAATTTATAAATCTCAGTGTTTATAGGAACAGCACATCAAAAAACCCTTGAATGCATTTATGTGGTTCATGAAGGAAAATAGGCCGAAATTGATGGAAGAGTTGGACTATAAAGAAAGACAAAGTGCTGAACTAAACAAGGTTACTCAGCTACTGAATTTTTTATTTAGTCTGAAAAAATCTGAAATAGATTGAAAGGATTAAATTCTGTATTTGTATTTTATCATTAATAGGTTTCATGTACAGTGTTTTTAATCGGATTTATGATTTTTTATTAAGATAGAAGCATTATGTTTGGAAATGTTACAGGAACTTGGGAGGAGGTGGCATGATTTACCAAAAGAAGAACAACAAAGGTATTACGAGCTTGCGAAAACGGATCGCGAACAACATATGCAGAAGTATCCTGGGTGGTCGGCTCGTGAAAATTATGCTATCAATAAGAAGAAAAAACGAAAACGTGACAAATCTGTTGGTGGGTGAGCTGCATCAAAATACACCTTATGTATATATCCACTCGTCATCCTAAAGGTTTAGAATTTTGTTTGTTCATCTTACAATGCTCAGAAATTGCAGATAACGGCGAACAGAAGAAATGCCGGGCTAGATTTGGTGTTGTAAATCAGGATCAGTGGTGCAAGCACTGCAAGAGGAAAAAGAGATGTCTTTGGTACCGAGAGGTAAACTGAGCTTTAATTCATCATTTAGTTGTGATGCTTCTTGATTTTAAATTAATTGGGTATAGTTGAGTGCTACAATTTTTTTAATATGTAAGAGGGAACTTCTATCCGAAACGTACGAGTATATCATTATGTACTTTGTTAATAATCAATCCTTTTATTTGCATCATATTATTATTCAAAAGATGGAAGAAAACAGTTTTTGAAGGTAGATATTCGCTTTCTGATAGTGAAGAAGTCATAGGACTCTAATCATGCTGTAATCCAACCTTGGTAGGAATAGGTATTTGGTTTTTCCATTTTTTTATAAAGTCTCTTCCAAGCAAAGGATAAAAAAGGCTATTTGACAGTATTAAACTTCCATCAGTTCCCATTTGTTTTCGCGTATATATTTAGGCATCTTCACCAGTTGGTGTGGTTTCCTCCACGACACCAGGAACCCCTGGTACCCCATCTTCATTATCTGGACCGGCTGCGGGTGGTACAATGAGCGGTCGTGATACTGATTCAGAAAATGATATGGACGCTGCTGCTGCTGCTGCCGCTGCCGCTGCTGAAAGATCTCGGTCAATGTTAAATCAGGTACCGAACGAGCAGCAGACCACTCCTCTTATTTGCCAGTAGTTCCTTTTTGTATATTTACTATTCTAGGCTGTTGTTGGCATCTATTCTTTGTTCATTTGGGATCCAAAAAATTTCTTTGCAATGTCAATCTATTGAATAGTTATTCGCTCTTTGTAGCACTATACCTTCACATCGCAAAAGCATCGCGAAACGAAATAGGTCAGATTGTTACGTCATGAAGATCTCGACTTTATCGTTTTCTAATCCATAATGAACGACGCGAAAGGATATAAGTGAAAGAACAAGATGAAATAGCCGATATTAGCATTGGAGCGATCAGAAACATTTGAGAATTGAAAAGAATATTGTTGCTTATTGTTAGCCTTAGTTTATACGCTTATCCTCGTTCTAATCGTCGTTGGTACACGGTCTTCAAAGTTTGCCTTAAGCTCTTTTCTGATGCAATCATCATTCAGCGCGCCAATTGCTCTTTATTTTTTGATAATAACGTATTGTATAGTTAGTCCGCCTTTTGTCGTGAGGCCTAGCGTGCCAGTTTTTGGACAATATCCTAATTGAATTACGTGGGAACCATCTATTCTTATTCTGGGGAAGAATACATCTCTCATTGGCCTGATAAATACAGATGCTTAGTTCGTATAATGATAATAACACGAAGCATATTGTGATGGATTGGACATCTATATTTATTTTTATGATATCCAGTTGTAATGAGCAGTAGCGGGATGAAGTTGTAGTGATGATATTCACGACGAAAATGGCAGTGACTTCCTTCTTCGCTATAAAAACAGGGTTTTCATTGCATATGAATACATCTTTCATTGTTCTTGTTATCGTTATTATTATCATCATTATTACTATTATGATCGTTATGGTTATATTTACAATTATGATTTTGATTCCTATTCTTACTGTTATCTCATTTATGTGTAATTCTCATCTTTCCTCCCTGTTTTGCATTTAAGACTAGTAATGAATGCACGCACTATCGATCGGTCAAAGCCCATATTACATTGGAATTTTAGGAGCAAACCTGATTGTATTTACTTTTGAAAAAGGATGACTTTTGTTGTCCGGCTGAGCTTTGACAGGTCTAGCTGCAGTAGTTCTCACTGAAATTATGCGGGAAGCTTTGATTTGCGTTGTATTTTTCAACTACTGATATTTTTGTTACAGCAATTTCTAATATTTTGCGCATTTACCATGTAGATAATACATGGGAAAAACTTTTCTTCTGCGACTAACTTTTTAAAATTCGACTGACGTGCTGTCGGGATCATTATTAAATCCCAGCAATAACAGTTAAAAGCACACACAACCAACGGGGAGGCAGGCTGCAGTTTGAAATTTTCAGATATTTTTAGGATACCATTTTGTCAAATGCAAATGATATTTCATCTTTTTTATCGAAACAATAAATATACGTCGTTTGAAGCTTGAGCACATTTATGAATATTTAGAATAGAAAGAATGGAAAGCGGTTGACAAGGGGAGGAACTGAGGTTTCCGCTGAGAGACGAAATACAGGCGGACCAGATCAAGACGAATTTGCTTTGAATTTTTTTTTCCTTTCTTTAACTGCTTAAAAATTACGGTTTTAAAGCAGAACTCGGGTTTTAAAGTAGAATTAGCGGACGACCGGCCTACTGAACTGTGTACATCAAATAAATACCACCGAGGGAGTTAGGCCTCAGTCTTTCCTCCTGGACCTCATAGCGATAGTGTATCTCCAGTCAGAACTGTTTAGAAGTGATTCCGCGGTTTTCTGTTTAATTCCTCCCCTTCACTCAGCAAAGTT